GTCCTCTAACTTTATTCTTCTCCTTCAATATCGTGTTGCCTATTCGGGGCTTTTGCCTCTCCATATAAACTTGAGAATCAATTTGTCAATATCCACAAAATAACTTAATGGAATTTTGATTGGGATTACATTGAATCTATAAATCAAGTTGACAATATTGAGTCTTTCTACCATAAACATGGACTATCTCTCCATTTATTTTGTTGTTCTTTGATATCTTTCATCCGAGTTTTATAGTTTTCCTTACATAAAGCTCCATATTTTGTTACATTTATTTATACGTAAGTATTTTATTTTGGAGGGGTGTTTTCAAAGTAATTATTAATGTAGTTGGATTAGTAGCTACCATATCTGTTACTGTTTTCTATTTGTTGGTCTGTTCTTTGTTTCTATTTTTGTCTTCCATTCTTTTTCTGCCTTTTGTGGTTCTGACTGAGCATTTTACATGATTCCATTTTCTCTTCTGTCTTAGCATATCAGTTATTGTTTACTTCTTTTAGTGGTTGTCCTACAGTTTGCAATATACATTTACAACCAACCCAAGTCCTCTTACAAATAACACTATACTGCTTCACAGGTAGTGCTCGTATATTTTAACAACAAAATTATCCTAATCCTCCCTCCCATCCTTTGTATCATTACTGTCACTCATTTCATTTATACATATGTATATGTAAACATATATATAAACATACATAATTGAATATACTGTTATTTTTATCAAACTGATATCTGTTAGAGCAATAAAAAAATTAAAAGTTTTAATTTTACCTTCATTTATTCACTTATTCCTTTTTCAATTATTTTCCTTCCTTTATGAAAATCTGAATTTCTGACCTATATCATTTCCTTTTTTCTAAAGAACTTCTTTCAACATTCTTGCAATACCGGTCTACTGGCAATAAATTCTCTCAATTTTGTTAATCTGAGGAAGTCTTTCTCCTTCACTTTTTTAGGATAATTTCACAGGGAATGGAATTCTAGGTTGGTGGTTTTTACTCTCTCAACACTAAATATTTCACTCCACTTTCTTCTTGCTTCCATGGTTTCTGAGAACTTTAATGTAATTCTTACTTTTGTTCCTCTATTGATACAATGTTTTTCCCCACAGGGCAGGACTTGTTAAAAAGGACAAAATGCTTTGGCGTATTTAAAAATGGTTCCTTTTCCTCAACCCTGGAAGCACCAGAGAATTTTTCTCTGATGTTTACTGTGGGAATTTGGTTGAGCTCCCAGAGGTAAATCTCAAAAATTCTGGGGTCCCTTGTATGACTGGGTCCCTCTGAAGTTTTTAACTCTCAGAGTTGTCCACGTTGAGCTTCCAACTTGTCAATTACAGTTCTTGTTTCCCTGGCACTGGTTCCCGAGGGTGGTTTCCCATCATGAGTCTCTGTTGCAGTAAATTGTTTTCTGTATTCTTTTGGTGGTCTCTCCAGTATTGGAGGCAGCAGTTTGCCCTCTGTTATCGCCTTTCTATGGATCCTAGAAGAATTGTTGATTTTTCCATCTGTTCAGCTTTTCACTTGTTAGAGCAGTGGTAGCTAGCTTCCAAGCTTCTCATATGCCAGACTGGAAACTAGAAATCTTTTTTTTTTTTTAATCAACAAGATACTAGGTTAAAAGGTGGATTTATATCATGTCTATAGGTAAACAGTTATCACTTTTACAAAATATTTCTAGTGAAGAAAGCTTATATATAAAAGAAAAATGTCAAGAATTTAAAAAACAAATTCCCACAATGTTCCTCATCTAGTGTAACAGGCTCCTAAAAGAGAAGCCTTTACTAAATCTTTCTGAATGGTGTTACATTTTATATTTCTATGTGGGTTTAAAAGTACTTAATTTTTTCTCATTGCCTTATCCTAATATTTCTTTCTTTACAGTGTTAAACAAATATACTTACAGGAAAGATACCTGGATTTTTATTTGAAAAAAAAATTATTAAAATATTTTAATATAAATGTCATGTCATTGAAAAACTACGAATGGGATAAATGCTTGCTAATGTTCACTTTTTTTTTGATTAAAACTCTAAATTCCCCCAGATACATTGTTTTACCAATATTTTTAAAGTTCAAAATCTAAATAATGTTCTTAATCAATTAACACTATCTTTGTATATATGCTGTGCATTGAGAAAATAAAAAAATGGCTTATTTTTTATTTGAAAGTGGAAACCTTTGGCTTCAAGCTTGCCTTTCAACACTCCCTGATGACATTTGGATTATGAGCTGAAAAGTGGGGTCTAGGTCTTATCACTGCATATCTGCAGCCAGGTGTGCAATCAGGTCTTTGGCATCTTGCATGGCGGAGGGTATCTCTGAGCCATTCTCAGTCACTTGGGTTCCAAACAAGAACATCTTCCTGTCATTTCCTACCTCAGATAATGCCAAAGCTTCATGGATATCTGTAATGTGATAGGCTGCTCCAAGATCCTTCACCAAGAATGAAAAAAAAACATTGCTTATTTTATAGTCCTTTTGGATAGATACATTTATTACTCTCATTCACGCTCTCAATGTCCAGCTTATTGATGCTTTCTTTCATGGATCATGGCTTTGGGTTTGTACTTGTGATCCATTTTGAGTAATTTTTTGTGTGTGTGTGAATGTTGTGAAGTCCGTGTTTAGATTTTTTTTCCACATATGGATGTCCAGTTGTTCCAGCACCATTTGTTGAAAAGATTATCTTTGCTCCACTGTATTGCCTTTGTTCATTTGTCAAGATCAGTTGCCTATATTTATAAGGGTCTGTTTTGGGGAGCTCTATTCTGTTCCATTGATCTATTTGTCTATTCTTCACCAGTACAACACTATCTTACTTACTGCAACTGTAGAGTAAGTATTGAACTTGGGTAATGTTAGTCCTCTAATTTTATTCTTCTCCTTCAATATCGTGTTGCCTATTCGGGGCTTTTGCCTCTCCATATAAACTTGAAAATCAATTTGTCAATATCCACAAAATAACTTAATGGAATTTTGATTGGGATTACATTGAATCTATAAATCAAGTTGACAATATTGAGTCTTTCTACCATAAACATGGACTATCTCTCCATTTATTTTGTTGTTCTTTGATATCTTTCATCCGAGTTTTATAGTTTTCCTTACATAAAGCTCCATATTTTGTTACATTTATTTATACCTAAGTATTTTATTTTGGAGGGGTGTTTTCAAAGTAATTATTAATGTAGTTGGATTAGTAGCTACCATATCTGTTACTGTTTTCTATTTGTTGGTCTGTTCTTTGTTTCTATTTTTGTCTTCCATTCTTTTTCTGCCTTTTGTGGTTCTGACTGAGCATTTTACATGATTCCATTTTCTCTTCTGTCTTAGCATATCAGTTATTGTTTACTTCTTTTAGTGGTTGTCCTACAGTTTGCAATATACATTTACAACCAACCCAAGTCCTCTTACAAATAACACTATACTGCTTCACAGGTAGTGCTAGTATATTTTAACAACAAAATTATCCTAATCCTCCCTCCCATCCTTTGTATCATTACTGTCACTCATTTCATTTATACATATGTATATGTAAATATATATATAAACATACATAATTGAATATACTGTTATTTTTATCAAACTGATATCTGTTAGAGCAATAAAAAAATTAAAAGTTTTAATTTTACCTTCATTTATTCACTTATTCCTTTTTCAATTATTTTCCTTCCTTTATGAAAATCTGAATTTCTGACCTATATCATTTCCTTTTTTCTAAAGAACTTCTTTCAACATTCTTGCAATACCGGTCTACTGGCAATAAATTCTCTCAATTTTGTTAATCTGAGGAAGTCTTTCTCCTTCACTTTTTTAGGATAATTTCACAGGGAATGGAATTCTAGGTTGGTGGTTTTTACTCTCTCAACACTAAATATTTCACTCCACTTTCTTCTTGCTTCCATGGTTTCTGAGAACTTTAATGTAATTTTTACTTTTGTTCCTCTATTGATACAATGTTTTTCCCCACAGGGCAGGACTTGTTAAAAAGGACAAAATGCTTTGGCGTATTTAAAAATGGTTCCTTTTCCTCAACCCTGGAAGCACCAGAGAATTTTTCTCTGATGTTTACTGTGGGAATTTGGTTGAGCTCCCAGAGGTGAATCACAAAAATTCTGGGGTCCCTTGTATGACTGGGTCCCTCTGAAGTTTTTAACTCTCAGAGTTGTCCACGTTGAACCTCCAACTTGTCAATTACAGTTCTTGTTTTCCTACCCTGGCACTGGTTCCCGAGGGTGGTTTCCCATCATGAGTCTCTGTTGCAGTAAATTGTTTTCTGTATTCTTTTGGTGGTCTCTCCAGTATTGGAGGCAGCAGTTTGCCCTCTGTTATCGCCTTTCTATGGATCCTAGAAGAATTGTTGATTTTTCCATCTGTTCAGCTTTTCACTTGTTAGAGCAGTGGTAGCTAGCTTCCAAGCTTCTCATATGCCAGACTGGAAACTAGAAATCTTTTTTTTTTTTTAATCAACAAGATACTAGGTTAAAAGGTGGATTTATATCATGTCTATAGGTAAACAGTTATCACTTTTACAAAATATTTCTAGTGAAGAAAGCTTATATATAAAAGAAAAATGTCAAGAATTTAAAAAACAAATTCCCACAATGTTCCTCATCTAGTGTAACAGGCTCCTAAAAGAGAAGCCTTTACTAAATCTTTCTGAATGGTGTTACATTTTATATTTCTATGTGGGTTTAAAAGTACTTAATTTTTTCTCATTGCCTTATCCTAATATTTCTTTCTTTACAGTGTTAAACAAATATACTTACAGGAAAGATACCTGGATTTTTATTTGAAAAAAAAATTATTAAAATATTTTAATATAAATGTCATGTCATTGAAAAACTACGAATGGGATAAATGCTTGCTAATGTTCACTTTTTTTTTGATTAAAACTCTAAATTCCCCCAGATACATTGTTTTACCAATATTTTTAAAGTTCAAAATCTAAATAATGTTCTTAATCAATTAACACTATCTTTGTATATATGCTGTGCATTGAGAAAATAAAAAAATGGCTTATTTTTTATTTGAAAGTGGAAACCTTTGGCTTCAAGCTTGCCTTTCAACACTCCCTGATGACATTTGGATTATGAGCTGAAAAGTGGGGTCTAGGTCTTATCACTGCATATCTGCAGCCAGGTGTGCAATCAGGTCTTTGGCATCTTGCATGGTGGAGGGTATCTCTGAGCCATTCTCAGTCACTTGGGTTCCAAACAAGAACATCTTCCTGTCATTTCCTACCTCAGATAATGCCAAAGCTTCATGGATATCTGTAATGTGATAGGCTGCTCCAAGATCCTTCACCAAGAATGAAAAAAAAACATTGCTTATTTTATAGTCCTTTTGGATAGATACATTTATTACTCTCATTCACTGCTCTCAATGACCTCACCTTTATTTAAATATGGAGGCTATTGTGACCCTATTATTATGACCCTTATGATTTTTTTAATATAAATTTTTTTAAATCAAAATTATACCTGTATTTACGAGTTATCATCAAAAGTGCATTTTTTGGAATGAAGTTAAAGCAGTAAACACCTCAATCAATTTTCTAAATGATGCAGTCAATCTGTTTCTAATTTTTTTCCATTTTCTTTTTTATTTCCCCAGAATTATATTCAATATGATTAATTATTGTTAGTTTATCTTTAACAATAGAAAGTTAAATCATTAATTGGATTTTTGCCATATGCTTTATTGATTATAGCATTTGCCACTCTGAGATTTTTTGTATGTGTGTGTGTGACCATTATTTTTACTGAACAAAAAAATTGTGGATCAAATTTTGGGGAATGGAGAGAGACAGAGAAGAGAGCAGGATTTAGAAAATAAAGTGGTATAAGAAGTAAGCCAAGAGGGGAGAGGGGGTGGAAACAAAGAAGACAAGATAAGAGAGGGGGAAGGCTAAAAGGAGGGAAACCCATAAGGAGAGGCAGAGAGAGAAGATATTAAAATGAGGAGACAGCTTGCACTTATGCTGCATGGCAAAGTCATAACCTTCTTGAGGTCCAAATGGCAAGGTCAAAACATACCTCTTGGACTTTCTAACATCAGGAATTATTTTTATAAATGATTTCTGATATTCTCTTTCCTAAATACACACAGATTTAGCTATACTTTTTAAGTCCTTTGCAAAAGTTTTAGCATTTTCACTCTTAAAACTGCATTTGCCTTTTTATTGTTTCATAGTGTTATTCCTAAGCTATAGGGGATCATATTTAAATCTTTGAACATAATCCAACATCACGTTATTTTTTTCTTGCAACAATATGAACCTATCAGATTCCATCACTGGGAGACTGTGAGGCTTTTCCTGATGTACTGTACATGGCATCTGTCTGGAGTTAATTACTTTCTGGATGTCGGTCATCCCAATTTATTGCCTGTCTTACTCCTGAATTCATTTAGTCCTATATCTTACAGTGACTTTTGTAACCATGTTAATGGATCCAGTAACATGTTGACAGTGTCTCAAGTTAATAAATTCCCTGATGGATTTGGAGAGGAGGTAAACAGGAGGAGAGTTTTGGATGAAAGGAGGGGCTCCTTGTAATGATAAAAGCCCATCAGGGATAATTCTGCTATGAACATGAGTATACAAATATCTGCTTTCAATTCTTTTGGGTATAAAACCAGAGGTGGAACTGCTGGATCATATGGGAAGTATATTTTAAATTTTTTAAGGAACTGCCATACTGTTTTCTATAGCAGCTAGACCATTTTACATTCCTACTAACACTACACGGGGTTCAAATTTCTCCATGGATATTTAATATTTTTAATGCATATGTATGAAATAAATTCAGATCAGTCTAACTTCTTTATATATGGTAGACACAAATATTTTATCAAAATCAACAATCAGTAAATATTTACTAAATCAAATTTAACACATATTTGTTGGAGTACTATGCCCAAGGCAGTATGCTAGGCATTACAAGGAACACAAAGATAAATCCTAGTCTCTATTCTCAAGTAGTATATAATCCAGTGGATCTAATAAGTATAAATTGAATATATGGCATGTTGTTTAATACCTAGCTAATAGAAGTAGGTATTTTGTATTTCTGGTATTAATAAGAAAACTATCGGGCACAATTTCTATTTGCAAAGATTTTTACCTGCTTGTTTGCAAACACAACCAGAGGGATGATTGGGTTTGTTTCAATCAGTTGATGAAGATGCTTCTTGGCTTCAGGTAATCTGCCATGATCTGCTGAATCCACCACAAAGATCAGCAGCAACCCCCTGGACAGGTACATATCCCAATAGGAACGGAAAGGTTCACTGCCACCAACTAGAGAATAGTAGAGAACAAAGACAAAAAAAATCACAGCAGCATCCACCAACATAGGCAGAAAGAGATGTTACTGGGGAAAGAGATGGTAGAAATATTTATCCTCCACAAGTATTTCATGCATTCTGGAACATGGGGGGTCAGCATCAAATACTAAGTACTACAGCTTCCTGATCTGTTACACACAGCAGCCATGGCGGCCCATGCATGTCTATCAGCTATAGCTCAAAAAATAGGAATAGGCTACTAAAATAATTCAGGGACAGGGGATTAAAACACATATTTCTCTAAAATAAGTTTTAATTGAACTGAATTCATCGGCTTGCCTCACTTGCACAATTTTTTTCCTTTGCCAAATGCCTGGAACTAATTTCTCTTCTAATATTGCACTGAGAGTTAATATGATCCCGTGGGCATTCAGGAATACTTGCCTCAGAAAAATAGTGCCTTTGGATTATTTCATTCTACTGATTCTTCCCAGAAGAACCTTTTTGGTTAATGACAATATTATATACACAATGAATTTAGTTTTTATTTTTCTCTTATGACAGGAGTTAGCAAACTATGACCCACAGTTTAAATAGAGCCCACTGCCTATTTTTGTACAGCCCACAAGCAAACAATGAATTTTACATTTTTAAATATTTGGGGGGGAAAGAACATTTCATGACATGTGAACATTTTATCACATTTGGATTTCAGTGTCTACAAATAAAGTTTTATCAGAACAGACATGTGGATTTGTTTCCATACTGTCTATGGCTGCTTTCACACTACAAAAGGCAGTGTTGTGTAGTTGCAACAGAGGCCATGTAGATCACAAAGCCTGAATTATTACTATCTGTCCCTTTAAAAAAAAAGTTTTTAGACTGTTGTTTTAGAAACTTAACAAAAAAATTCAACATACTAACCAGAAATGGTCTATATTTGCCTTTCCTTTGTTTTCCCTTTGTATAGAGCTGAGGCTAGTCATTCTTTGAAGTATTTCATTTTTAATTTTTTAAAAGAATGTTGTATAATCTGAGTAAGTCAAATAGTTTAAACATATTTGGTTTAAACAAAATAAACATTTGTGTTGCTTCCCTTTTTTTGTGACACTGTGACATTTTACTTGTGTAGAGATTTTTATTTTTCAGTTATTAACTTCTAACTGCAGTGTAGTTAGAGAACATGCTTTGTATGATGCATCTTCTTTGAAATATTTGTTAAGACTTGCTGTATGGCCCAGTAAGTGGTCAATTTTGGTAATGTCCCATGAGTGAGAAGAATGTGTATTTTGTCTTCTGGATGTAGCTGAAATATCTAATTAGACAATTTTATATTGTCCGTTAGATCAAACTTGTTGATTATGTTCAAATTTTGTATACCTTTGCAGATTTTTTCTCCTCAATCTGAATAACTGACAAAGGTATGATGAACTCCCTCACTCTAATGGTAGATCTGTCCATTTCTCCCCCTTCTTTACTTCCTTTTTACTTTTTATATATTGAGACTATTTTGATCCTTCTTTACTTCCTTTTTACTTTTTATATATTGAGACTATTTTCTTAGCTATTTATTTGGTCAAAATAATTATTTCTTCTACAGCTTCAGTGTAAGTTGAAATCTCTATTCATAATATGCTTCTGAGATTTCCAGTCAAGATGACAGAGTAGGTAAAAGCTGCTCTTGCCTCCTCTCACAACCACATCAAAATCACAACTAAACTATAGAACAACTATCTGAGAAATGCCTGAAGTCTAGTTTAAGAGAAGTCCTATAATTAAGAACATACAGAAGAGGCCACCTTCAGATTGGAAGGAGGGACAGATATGCCTAAACCCATGTGTGGGGTTAAAAATCGGGAGAGATATCTCAGTTGCAGAGTCCCCCTCTGAGAAGTGAGGGGTCCCCACCCTACACAACTTCTGGCTGTGAAAACCAGAGGGGATCATGCCTGAGTGAGATAGAGGGCTGTGGGAGTTCCAGTCATGCTTCATAAAGGGCCCATACATGGTCTTACTGCTAACGGACTCACTTGCTCTGAGCTCCAGCACTGGGGCAGCAGTTTGAAAGGCTCTAGCGACATATGGCAAGGAACCAAATTGTCTGGCTTCAGGGTGAAGGATAAGGGGGCAGCTTTCTCCCAGACAGAAGTGCTGGTAGAATTCACTGTTACTTTGTTGAGCCCTCCCTGCTCCCCATGTGCAAACGTAGGTAGCCACCATATCTGAGTCTCCATCAACCTGGCTAACACTGGTTGCCCTGCCCCGGTGATTTCGTGAGACCTTGCTCCACTCAACTTGTGGGCCCACCCAAGCTACTTCTAGTGGGTTTTCCATACAGATGGCCTGCCTTGGCTCATGTTGCAGACTTTCCTAAAATCTCTCAAAAGTTTTCAAACCCCCAAAAAGCAGCATCTGCCCTTGGCATGCTTGTACCTCTTGCTAAGCACCCTTAAGCCTGGCACTAGTTACAGCCAGCCTCAGTTTGCAGCTTAGACCCTCTCAGCACCTCCAAGGCCAGTGCAGGTGGAAGATATCTGTGGATTGATTTGTGGCTCATGGCAGGTGGACCTGGGCAGGGCACTGGTAGTAGCTGAACTTGTCCTGTATCAGAGCCCCTTCCAGGGTCAGCATACTCAGTGGACAGATTTGGACCTTGCTGGAGCACCACCAGGCTGCCACCTCAGATGACACACCTGAAGGGCAGACTGGGCAGGCACCAGAGCCCTGTTAAAGTGAATCCTGTTCTATAAGGTCAGCCCCTGCACAACAGCTCCTGGGCTGTAGTCACAACCAATCCTCACAACCAAGCAGCCTGAAGGTCAGTCCCTCCCACTGATGTACAAAAAGCAACCGAGGCTCAACTACAATAATAGGGCAAACACAACCCACACCTGCAACACCTGGCACAGATGACCAGGGAGACTATGCCACTGGGCCACACAGGACACCTACTACATAAGGCCACTCTACCTAGACCAGGAGACATAGCAGATCTACCTAATACAAAGAAACAAACAGAAAGGCAGCCATAATAGAGAGAGAAAGAAACATGCCCCAAATGAAAGAACAGAACAAAGCTCCAGAAAAAGAACTCGAGAAAATGGAGATAAGTAATCTACCAGAGGCAGAGTTCAAAACACTGGTTATAAGGGTGTTCAATAATCTCAGCAAGAACTTCAAGAAAGAAGTAGAAAACATAAAAAAGAATCAGTCGGAAATGAAGAATACAATAACTGAAATAAAGAATACATTAGAGGGAATCAACTGCAGATTAGATGAATTGTTCGAATCAGTGATTTAGAAGATAAGGTAGCAGAAAACACCCAATCAGAACAGCAACAACAACAACAACAACAAAATAAAAGAGGACAGTTTAAGGGGCCTCTGAGATATCATTAATGATACCAACATTTGCATCATAGGGGTACCAGAAGCAGGTGAGAGAAAACAAGAAATTACAAACCTATTTGAAGAAATAGTGATGGAAAAATTTCCCTGACCTAGAAAAGCAAATAGACATACAAGCCCAGGAAGCAGAGAGAGTCCCAAACAAGATGAACCCAAACAGGCCCACACCAAGACACATGATAATTAAAATGCCAAAGGTTAAAGACAAAGAGAAAAATCTTAAAAGCAGCAAGAGAAAAGCAGTTAGTGTCTACAAGGAAGCTCCCTCTCGTTAAGACTGTCAGCTGGTTTCTCAACTAAAACTTTGCAGGCCAGAAGGAATTGGCATGAAATATTCAAAGTGATGACAAGCAAGGTCCTACAACTAAGATGACTCTACCCAGCAAAGCTATCATTTAGAATTGAAGAACAGATAAAGAACTTACCAGACAAGAAAAGCTAAAGGAGTTCGTCACTACCAAACCAGTATTATAAGAAATGTTAAAGGGATTTCTTTAAGAAGAAGAAAAAAATATGAATAATAAAATGGCAATAATTACATATCTATCAGCAATTACTTTATATGTAAATGGATGAAATGCTCCAACCAAAATACATAGGGTGGCTGAATGGATAAGAAGACCTTTACATATGCTGCCTATAAGAGGCTCACCTGAGATTAAAAGGCACACACGAACTGAAAATAAAGGATTGAAAAAGACATTCTATGAAAATGTAAAGGAAAAAGAAAGCTGGGGTAGTGATGCTTATACCAGACAAATAGACTTTAAAACAAAGGCTATAATAAGAGACAAAGAAGGACCCAGTAATCCCACCTCTGGGTATTTATCTGAAGAAACTCAAAACATGACTTTGAATGGATGTGTACATCCATATATTCATTGCAGCATTATTTACAATAGCCAAGATATGGAGGCAACTTGGGTGTCCATCAATGAATGAATGGATAAAGAAGAGGTGGTATATATACAATGGACTATTATTACTCAGCCATAAAAATCATGAAACCTTGCCATCTGCAACAACATAAATGGACAGTATTGTGCTGAGTGGAGTCAGACAGAGAAAAAGACAAATGCCATATGATTTCACTTATATGTGGAATCTAAAGAACAAAATAAATGAACAAAACGAACTCACTCATAGATAAAGAGAACATTTTGATGGTTGCCAGATGGGAGGGCGGTTGGGAGGATGTGTGAAAAAAGTGGTGAAGGAATTAAGAAATACAAGTTGGTAGTTATAAAATAGTCATGGGGATGTAAAGTACAGCATAAGGAATATAGTCAATAATACTGTAATAACTATGGTGTCAGACGGGTACTAGATTTATCAGGGTGATCCCTGCAAGTTATATAAATGTCTAATCACCACTTTGTATACCTGAAAGTATTATAATATGTATGTCAATTATAATTGAAAAATAAAAATATTATTTAAAAAAAACATAATAATGCTTTTGTCTTAAAAATTTGCCTACAGGCTTATCAATCTCTGCCCACTGTTTTCTCCTCATAACTGGATGAAAACAAAATTAAAAAGATGATTGCAGTAATCTCAGAGACAAGGTGCCAAGTTGAATAGGGGTAGTGGGAAAGGATGTAACTATTAAATTCAAGATTTGTTCTAGGGGTAGAAAAAATTAGTGTCTTGTGGACTAGAGGTCAGGTTACAGAAAGAGTAATCGATGTTGACTTCCAGTTTTCTGGCTTGAGCAATTTGATGGGTACTGACAAGTAGATTATAGGGAAAGGAACAGATATGGAGATAAATCAAGCATTTTGTTTTGACCATGTTCGTTTGAAAGGCCAATTAGACAACTGGATGGAGATGCAAGGCAACATTTGGATATGTTTGGGCTAGATGGATAAATTTGGGAATCAGTAGCATAAAGATGGTATTTAATACCAAGAAGATGAATGAAATCATCCAGGAAAAATATATATAACAAAAAGACGAGGATCTTATGCAACTTGGGGAAACAGCAATGTTAAAGAGGTGGTGACTCCAGAATTTCCACAGAGTAGGGGCTTCTGGGCTGCCCTCTGGTTATAAGAAGAAGTTTGGGGTTTGTCTATAGCTGCACTCGCAGAGAAGGAAGCACCCTGTATTTACTTAGATTGCATGTTTATTACGGGTAGTAAAGGAAGAGGGAGGCTATTATTACAGGAGGAGGTGTAAAACATTCCTCTCAACGTCCCTTTATTGCCACCACTGCAAAAAGGAGAAAATAAAAAGAGCAGAACATGATTTCCCCCATTGTTCAGCCTAATATCAAACTACACACGCATTCTAAATATCTAGGAAAATCTAACCCAGTGTTACTTTTCACAAGGACCCAATGTCGAAAACATTATGTCTAGATTAAGGATTAACAAAATGAGGCTATCCTGTAATTAATGAGAAAGAAGGCTTACTCTCCAGGAACTCCATCTGGCTGCCTTCAGTGTTGATGCACACCGCATTGAAACCTTGAGTGGGTGCCTCACTGTGCTGGACTCTGTTTAAAGCTAGAGAGTGGAGAACACTGGTCTTTCCTGCTCCATCCAGGCCCAGCACTAGGATCTGCTTATTTTTCTCCTGTGAAACAAAAGATAAATTAATAAGCCTATGCTATCAGGGCCTTGTTTTCCTGGTTCCTGACAGTGTACCTGCCTGTGGTAGGACCCAGTATCTTTGTGGAATTGTTAACCAGAATAAAATTTCACAAAACACTTAAGAGGTCTAGAACAAACTATACCAGTTTGTATTTTATAATCAGCCATTAGTTATGTGAAATTAATCATACATCCCCTCTCAATCCTCAACTCCTGATCAATCTATCAAATAAATACTTTATATGTATCAGAATTTATGGGAGGTGCCAGAGAACACAGGGACAATTTTCAGACTTCATTTTGCTTCTTGAGCTTTTGCACCAGAATTCAGTTTGTTGTTTGGGATCTTCAGACCTTCATGGTCCATGTATTGACTTTTACTCAGCATGTAAGCATCTAAAACCTTGTATTTTTAATCTCTCTTGTCTTCCCAATTGGTTCACCAGATTAAAAGCTCTTAATGTAAGTTTTCCTCTTATATGTCTTAATATAAGGATCACAATTAAATGAAAAGGCTAAGATTATAGAAATTGTTAAACCAGTTCCAATTGCAAATGAGCATTTATTTTAAAACCTGAAGTTAAAATCTTTTGAACTAGACGTAAACTTAAGAAAGAAACACATAACCAACATACCAGCCTTATAAATTTTTATGAAAAATGACTGAGGGACAACAAGGGCAGGCTGGTATGAAGACAGAAAGTTCAGAGTGCTGAGAAAAGTGGCTTTTAGGGTACAAACATCAATGGTAAACAGTAATAAATGAGCAACAATACAGCCAGACTGCTCACAGGAACTCAATTCTACTTCCCAAACAGCCTACTAACGTTTCTTATGCACATAAAATACTAGTAAATGTCTTCAGTGGCACTGGTTTTAAAAAAAACAATAATCTTAAACATTTTTGCTCGAACAATAAACATTGTCATTAAACTGAGTTTCTGAAAAAAAGTGATCCTAAACAGCACGAGAATGCTTGCCCCACTTCTCTCTCTTTTTAAATGAGATTTATGTGAAAGTGAGGTGTTTCAAATTCTGGTCTAATAGAGATTTGTATAGAGAGTATGATTTATGAAGACTGGTAAATAACAGAAATCGGAAAAGTACATATTTGTTTTTGGAGTGAATTCTTGATGGCTTTTTAAAGCAGATGTTATTTGCATAGATGTTTTCTATCTCCATCCCCACTTTCTTCCCCATTCCCATCTGCGCCTAAATATTATAATGTTATTCTGAGAGTGTGACGGTAAGAAAGAGTGGTTTGATATACAAAGAAGACTTAATTGGATGCTTTAAAACTTTATGCTTTAAAGCAATGGTGGCACCAAGTAATGGCTGCAGGGTGTGGATTGTGTCCCCCTCATTATCTCCATCAATGACCAGACTCCCGCTACCCTAATATTCCATCAATTTCAAAATAATTTTTTTTTTCACATTTTAACATATCTGAAATAAGCATTCTACAATCCATGGTATGTCTTATTTTGGTTGGAAGCATTTTTTTTTTCCTTAGAGGTACTAAAAATAATAGGATCTTAGATCCTGTGAAATATTGTGAGTAAAAATAGTTCCCTACTCCCTTTCCAACTGCATCACTGTCCCTCAAGTCTACCTTATTTAGAAATTCAGCAGGTATTGCTGCTTTACATTTTTCTTATTTTTTTAGTGCAAAATACACGGTCCTTCATGTTTATAATCTCTTAAGGAAAGCTGATTATTGTAAACAGACACAGAATGTGATTCTGAACACAACTGTTTCTTGTCAAAAGTTAATCCTTTAACTATATATGGATCTATGCAGTCTGTTTTACCAGAGATCAAATGTATGTTAATAATTCACATTGTTTAGAACAAGGAAGCAGCTCTGAGTCCAAGAACTTCAGGAGCACAGCACCCACCACATGATCCAAATAATGTCTGGCTTTTCTCTCTTCCCCCTACCACTCCCCCATTTTAAAATTGTGGTTAAATACACATAACATAAAACTTACCATCTTAATCCTTTTTAAGCATACAGCTCAGTGGTATTAAATACACCCATTGATAATGTTGTGCAACCATCATCACCATCCATCTCCAGAACTCTTTCCATCATGTAAAACTGAAACTCCGTACTCATTAAATACTAATTCCCCATTCTCCCTTCCCCCGGGGCCCTGGTTACCACCATTCTACCCTTTCCCTATGATTTTTGACTACTGTAGGTACCTCATATAAGTGGAACCTACAGGTATTTGACTTTTTGTGACTACAGTGCCTGGCTTCTGAGACATTTCAGTTAAACCTTTCTGACAGTCCCTTCTAGACAGTGGTGGTCTGAAAATAACGGAAGCCGTAGCCACAGCGCCCATAGAAAAGGCCCAGACAGCCCTAAAAAACATTCTGCACAAATTTAGGAACCCAACACATTCTAGAAAATAACTTATTCAACAGAGAGAACATGGAGAAAGAGTCTGTGTGCAGCGATGGTTTGAGGTGGGTTTCTCTGTCATGGACGGTGAGCTAGTGCTGAGTGCTGGACAGAGGATGGGGCCGGAGAAGGGCGGTTCTCAGCGTCCGGGTGAAGACCAACTAAGACCTCTTCTTGAAGACAAGACCCAGTGAGGGTTGGGACACAGGGTCAGGGTTATGGTGAAGGTGGGCAGGGGTCCAGGGAGAAGGGCCTAGAGAAGGGTTGTTCGAAGCTTGGCACATCTCCTTCTATCCCCAGAAAGCCCCAAACGAAACCCAATTCCCTCCTGCATCGGTCGGGGCCCCAGACGTAACAGAGCCGGCGCTCCGGCCTGAACGCCGACAATCGCCTTGCGGGGGTGGGGGTCTGCAGCACCGGTCTCTTACCCTCGGCTCCAGCAGGGGCTTTGCCAAGAGGCTGTTGTTGTCCTCTTTCTCTTCTTTTCCCTTTAATTGTTCCTTCTCTTTCTCTGTCTCCCGCTCTTTCCTCTTCTCCTCCTCTTTATTCTTACTTTTCTCCTCCCTCCCTTTCTCTTTTTCTTTTTCCTTATTTTTTTCCTTCTCCACCTCCTTCTTCTTCTCTTTCTCTTCCTTTCCCTTTTCTCGAATTTTTTCTTTCTCTGGTTCCTTCCCCTTTTCTTTCTTCTTCGTTTTCACCCTTTCCATCTTCACGCCCCTGTTTCCTTCGCTTCTCCCGCGCGCCCGCGCGCTGGAGCCGTGGCCCTGAGTCCCGGCTGGTGTGGCTCCCGCGTGTGGCACAGGACTGAGACGTAGCTCCAGGTGGCATAGACCACACCTAGTCACCGCGGCCGCAGCCAGTCTGAGGGCGCGCGGGCTGCGGCGGTCATCTCACGCTCGCTCGCTGGGGGAGGGAGGGAGCTGCATGCTGCATTTTCGCGGAACCTGAAAGTAGGAGGTGGATTGGAGAGGGGAAGGCTGGGGAGATAGAGAAAAGGTCAAGCCCAGCCAAAGGCAGGCCTGGCAGCGGGATTTGGGAAACACCAGCAGGGCAGATCATCCGTGAAAAAACGTTCCCAGGTGCCATATCCTCGGGAGGGCGTGCTATGGCGCAACTTTCTCGGACTAGGCAGGATGTCCCAGACAGGACTTGCTGCGGACCCAGATTTGTGTCCCACGTCTCCCGCATTATCCCCGAGCCCACCCAGCTCACCTGTTTCCGACCAGGAGAACCCTTCAGGAGCCAGAGTCCCCAGAGGATTCCTCGCCTTTCCCCAGTTAGCAAGCCTGTAAAGTGAAGTTGGGTATCTTTCCACTCTTCGTGCCAACTTAACTAGTAGTGTCTAGAGGTTGCTGTCCAAGATGCTTAGGGGAACGGAAAGTTTCTCTATTTTAAATTCCTGTCGTATTTTGGTTAAAAAAAAAAAAAAAAAAAAAATTCTCCAGAGAGTAAATTAGTAGTTTGTCAGGATCATGGATACTAGTAAAGCTGGGTATTTAAAAAAAAAAAAAAAACAACAACTAAAAATAGTCTAGTTGCTCCCAATGATCCAGTATGTAGCCAATTAGGAAACCTTTGGG